GGGGGGGGGGGTCCATAAGATTGATTTAATCAATTATTTGAGGTTTCTGAGGTGCGTCCACCCCGTCACTTAACTTGCTAAAGCAAGAGCAACTCCAGCTAGCTAAGGCTAGCTTTCGTGACAAGTGCCTTACTAGTAGTAACAAGAAGCTATTAGGAACAAGTGCATCGCTACTCGTAACAAGTGCCTTACTAGTAGTAACAAGAAGCTATTAGGAACAAGTGCATCGCTACTAGTAACAAGTGCCTTACTAGTAGTAACAAGAAGCTATTTTATGCAAATAAGATGAAACACCACGCTTAAACCCTAACAAATTACTATATCATGGGATGACCAAAGGTCAGTTGAACTATTGAAAACATGTCATATCGTGTCATAACTATTCCTTCTTCAACATTTTTTGGGATTGATGTCGCAAAAAGGTGAGGGATGCGGCTCCATTGAAACAGGATGCTTTGTTACCAACAGCTGGCCGGGGGTCCTTTGAGAATAGGCAGAATAGGCAGCGGCTGATCTGATCTACACACCAAAAATCTAGACTAGACCTCTTGTGGACATGCAGATTGACTTTCAGGGTTCCACATGCCTTTTTTCAAGGCATTTGCCGGCGGATCGTCGCTGGCGGAAGAAGCCATGGGGTTTGCAGCCGGTGGGCGCCATCTGCATGGACTGCGTCCTTGGATTCTTTTGGTTCCACGTACTTTCAGTCCATGTCCTCAGTCCATCTCCATGCTCCCCCTGGTCCGGCATCGCATCGTTCCCGGACCCCCAAACCTGGCGTCTTCGCAGCATCTTTGGCCGCCTTCCGCGCCGCCTGGGGACGAAGGGCGCCCAAAAGCGCGGAGGACAGCTACGAGCTGCTAGCTTCTGGTTACTACCCAAATGCGACCCTGGGCACTCATATGGAGGGGTCGGACCCGAATCCTTTAGAGGGGTCTGGGGTCGAACCCGCACCAATCCCTAGGTTTTGAGGGACCAAGGGCTGTTTGGAGCGTCTGGGTACAGGTGAAACGATTCCCAAGGAAACTTCTAGCTCCGTTCGTCGCGAACCTTGTTCCTAGTAGCAAGGCCAGGAGCGCCCCGTTCGTAGCGTCCGATCGCTCCGTTCGAGTCGCGATGCCCTTTGTTCCGTTCGTAGCTTCTCATCTATCAGTGCTAAGGTTTTCAGCGCTCCATGTTGATCTGAGGTAAGTCGTGTGGGGAAAGCTGCGACCATGAGGTAGGGTGATGGGGTGAGTTGTTCAGGGGCGGACCTCAGCAGGACCTCAGTAAGATAGGGTCTGGCTTCACTGTTGCCAACTCCTTGACCTCTTTCCAGCCATCGGGGCAGCAGCAGTAGTAGCAGTAGTAGTAGTAGTAGAAGTATCAGGAGCAGCAGCAGCAGTCGTAGTGGCAGTGTGGCAGTGGCAGTGGCAGTGGCAGTAGTAGTGGTGGTGGTGGTGGTGGTGGTGGTGGCGGTGGTGGTGGTGGTAGTAGTGGTAGTAGTCGTCTTTATCTGTGACGTCGCCTTTTCTTTCTCAGCTTCTTCCACTAAGGCTTGAAGTTCGCTCTTCCTCGGCGAGTGATGGCGCTCGGTGCACTCCGCAAAAGCGTCAACCTGGTTCTTCAGTTGACCGAACTTGATCCCCTTGGTGTCACTGGATGAGTCTCCAGGTCACGAACTGAAGCGGACTCATCCTGTCGGACTCATCTTTCCCCTCTTCATTCGGGCGATGACAAGCATCAACCAAACGGTCTGACCGTGCGGAAGTTTCGCACTTGGCACACCTTTGAGTCTATGTGAATGATCGCCCATGTCCACCAATCCACCATTTGCAGTCAAAAAGTCAAAAGCTCCTACCCTAAGAATCCGGGCCCTCAAACTCAAACACATAGGGTTTCGAGGGCCCAGACCCCTGCCATGCAAAGTCCGACCCCTGCCATGGAGAGCCCAAGGATTGTTAGGGTATACTATCCTCAAAGAAGACCCGGTGGGCCACACTTCTCCAGCTTTCTCGCTAAAAAATATCACCGAACAAGAGATAAAAAGAGATGTTATCTCACCAAATCGAGCCTTTCGGACTCTCTGCTGACTTTTATCGAATCCTTTAGCTATCCTTTGGATCTTCTTTCTTTCCATTTCTGTTTCTCCAAGCATTCTTCTTTCCGTCTTCAGATTGCTTCCCATCCCAATCTCCTTTCTGGTCTTCTTCCCCTTTTTGTTCCTCCCGCCTTTCCAGAACAGCTAACAACGCTCTTTGTTCAGCCCACCACTACCGGTCCACCGGTCGTCGCTTCGTTCGTCCCAGCATCTCCACCACGTTCGCGGGGAGCTTCCACCCCATGTCCCGCAGGGTGGCCTGGGCAGCGATCCGGCAACCCACATCATGTAACAGTGGATGATGATGGTTGGTAAAGGCCTTGTTCATAGTAATCATTGTTTACTGACTGTTACAGGTAATAGGACAGACCCAAAGTATATTGATGACTATAGTCTTCCTTCCTTGTCCATAGGTGTGGAAATTGGAATTGGTTCCGACCATGTCCGGAAGGCACATGAGAGTCGGCATCTGCCGCGGCGCGCCACACGGAGCGATCGGCCTTGAGCTCTGCCACTGTACGGGACGGTGACGCTGGCAGGTTCAATGGCCTCGGCGCAGGATAGAGGTACCAGTATATATGGTGATTGGAGACTCTTTTTGAGGTAGGCGCCCATACAGGGGTCCAAAGACCTTCTGAGAAGGTGGCAGTGGATCCATACATGGATTGTCAGTATTTGTCACCTGGTGTTCTTTCCGGTTGCGGGGCACGATGCAAGTCAAAACCAGCACGTTTGGGTCGGCAGGAAACGTCCCAGTCGACACCAGTCGCTGATTTCAGCGGCCCCATCTCTTGTTTTCACCCATCTTTTGAGCATATCAGGAAGCATACACCGATCACGAGATGGACATCCATCCCAGCCGTGTGTCTTTGAAGAGGGAAACGTATCATTCTCAGTGAGAGGAGGGGGATCCCCGGTTTCAACCGCAGTCCGGTCCATCGATTTAGGCCCGAGGAGCTCCGGGGAGGGCACATCGAGCTCCGGGTCCACCAATCGTGGCACTGGCACCTCGTACCTGAGCGGTTGCAACCACGGTGGCGTCACACGAGAACACACACCCTACACCGACATCGTCGTGCCTCCTCAGGTTCGGTATAACTGGATCCTCCTGGCACCCACCCCAGACATGAGGAAATAGCTGTTTGGTTCGTTCGTTGACCAGAAGCTTGAGATATCAACTGCATCACTCGGTCACCGGAGTCACGCCATGCCGATTTGAGCGCCGATGACATGCAAGAGTTCGTGCAACCGTTTTTTTTTGGAACACAAAAGGCAGAAAGGAAAAAAGGTTTGAAGGTCTAGAGTCTACAAGAGGCATGGCCCATGGCACATGGAAGGAACGACCAGGCCCATGTTAACTCTCTTAAAGAAAGACACGACGGAACCCCTCGTGTCCTGAGACATGAACACCTGCGAAATCCAACGCCCCAAACGACTCCCCAAGGCTTCCACTTCTTCTGTCGGATGCATCCTGCGCCCATGGCACGAGGGACATAGCGAAGCCCTTTCTACGCAAGGAAAAAACAACACGTGTCTTGGCTCAAGCCATGAGCATGAGGATCAAGTCGAATGGCGCTGCTGTGCATGGCCGCTCTTTGCTGCCTTTAAGTTGGCTGTAGACTCTGTAGGCTGCTGGAATTCTTGGAAGCTCTGCCGGGCGCTTCCAAACGCTTCCAAATGTCTTGCTATGAATGTCTATGTCTCTGTGCTTTACGTTGGAGAAGCACCTGTTCTCCAGGCCAATCCACACTGGAGCCACACGCACACTGCAAGGACATTGACGAAATTCTTTGCACCTTAGCACACCTCCATTGAATGGAACTGACTGAAACATCCGATCACGGAGTCATCCCACCGGGCGATCCCCGATTCAGCCCGCCCAAACAATGACCATTCGCACCAGTCCCGTGCCGACAACTCGCACCACACCCAGCCGAACCCAGGGACCGCCTAGTCAAACCACTCCAGGGACTACTCCAGGGTGTGAAGTAACATGGGGAGACCTCCCAGGGAATTCAGGGAGTGGTGCCAGAAACCCATTGGTGGTCTCCCCTTGTTGGAGGGGGGGGGACGTTGGGGGTAGGGACAATTCCATAGCTAGCAGGGTGGCCATCTTGTCTCGAGGTCTTCCGAATCTTCCTTTGAAACAGACCGGTGCCTCGCTCCCTGCATGCCAGTCCTGAGGCGCACGGGAGTTCGGACACCGCTACGGATGCCTAAAACAGGATTGATGGGCTTTTCTATAGCTTGCAGCTTGCAATATGACACGCGATTTTGTCAATGTATATGAACAAGATATGACATTGTTTTTGATAAATGTCAAACACATGTAACATGTCGTGACATTAGTTTATCAGATCTTATCAGTATTTTCTTGTGTTTCCTTTAATTGAGGCACGCCCAGCTTGCTCTCTTTCCTGCAGGGGGTCTCTTGTAAGGTCATGATAGGTCATGCAGAAAAACAAATCAGGTTGAAAACACCCAACTCAGAAAAATAATCTATATATACACCGTACACTGTTTTGTGACTATAGTGACGAGTATGTATAGTGCTCCCTCTCAAAAGGTCTCCATGCTGGGCAACACCCCGGCAGGTCTTGGTACAAAGACCCACCGCTTCTATACCTGGACCCTCCAACAGGTGTTTCCTGGTGGCAACAGGTGCCCAGAAACCACCTGTCAGGGTCCCCAAACAGCCTCCTGGTACATGTCAGTGGTCGTTTTTTCTTCAGAAAACATGTTAAAGCGGTTGAAGCGGAGGGTTTCAGATGGATTCGGTCATCGCTCAATGACGCGTGACGTTGATGGATTCGGTCGGTTTTCGCTTCGTGCACCTGTTTCGTCAGCCGAATCCAGACTCAGCTGGGGCTGTGTGAACCAATCGCCTGAGGCCACCGGCTAAAACATGGCACGCCCCAAGGCTTCCTGACGTGGGGCCGGGCTTCACAGGGTGACCGCCATGTCCAAAGACTGAAAAGCTGAAACAGGTGCAGATGGTCATGTGCTGGGGTCGGTTCAACGTTGATCACCGAAATGGGGCCGAACATTGCTACCAGCTATGCTTGAGCAGGTCACGCTTCACCACATTCTATACCAGGTCCTTTCCACCACGTCAATGAGTGACCCAGCTCCCCACGTCAACCATTGTCACACCGCTGGTACCGCGGATTTCAGATGTCGACATCTTCAGCAGTTTGGTGGTTGCCTTACTGTAGTTGGCTTTTGGCTTTGACGTAGCTGTAGTAATGTGGGAGGACTCTGGAAGGTCCAAGGCGATCCTTTCTTGCTTTTTGCATGCTTGTTCCCAAGAGCATCCTGTTTGTTCTTACATATCTTATGCTTTTATATGCCATTCTTACATATTATCTTATTTACTATTGATTGATCTTGTTTGTTCATTCTTTTTTCTCGACCTGACTTCTTTCTAAGGGCGTCCTTTGAACCTTGATAGTTTCGTCTGCAGAACCCCTCCTGCAGAATTCCTCCTCTCGCCCCCCGCCCGCTGCGCGGCCGCGCACGACATGCCAGGTCCCCACCGGCCATATACTTCCGCCCTCTCTCGAGGACCCAGGCGGGCATGGCCCGCGTCTGGCCGGGAGTTGAGGTGCACCGAGTGAAGCACCGCTACGTTGCGGAGGGTGAAGGGGAACTGTAAAAACCAAAAGGACATGCCCTAGGGATCCAGTCGTACCGAACCTCAGGTACGGTGATGGGTTCGACACTGTTATATAGGTGCCAGGAGGGTCCAGTCGTACCTTCTGAGGTTCGACTGGATCCCTAGGGATGTGTAGGCCAGTTTGCCCCAATGAACCGCAGTTCGCCTCAAGGATATGGGGTGAACTGGTTACCACGACGTGGAGAGGACGACGTGCGTGACGTCGTCAGCGGCTGATCGGTTTTCCGGTCAGTTTTCTGCAGGTACTCAAGATCACACGGAGGGAATAAGAAAAAGGGACTTCCATGCTGACACCCCTAAGTTGCATGAATATAGTATTTAATATAGAAGGTTGTGGCGAATATCGAAGGGAAACTGTTCCTCAACTTGAACTCAACACGAGAGCCATCAAGAGCCAGGATTTTGCTTTGGCTTCAACAAATTGCCACGAGTAAGTACCTCTGGAGCTGCCGGCATAGGCCCCGCATCTCCAATCGTAACCTGCGCAGCCATGGAGTCATGTGCAAACATGCGAAAACACTGAAATCAAGCCCTTAAGAGTGGTCCAATCTCATCTTCCACATTTCACTTCATTATATGTCATTATCCGGCATTTTAAACTATACCCAGACACTCCATGTATGCCATATATGCCCACATTGACCCCCAAAACCGCCCCAATGTGGGCATATATGGCAGTCCCATTAGTCGTGTCGTCTCCCGTCCTTCATCCGTCATTCAGCGTCGACCGACCGCGAGGCGGCTGCCCGGGTTTTGTCCGATGCATCAAGGTGATTGATGGCTTTACTTTCGAATTGTCCCTCTCTTGAGGGAGAGATAGCGCCCGGCGCGCGCCGGAAAGACCACTTAACTGGCCTCCGGCGGTGCAGCAAACAGGCGCCCGATGCAGGACGGGGGATTCGTGATTCGTGACGTGGTCTCGAACCGGACGTCCCGGCCGAGCCACGATTCCGGGTGAAACCGAGCCATGAATTCCGTGGGTTTTGGGTCCAACCTCGCAGCGGTTTGGCAGCCACTCACCTTTGAGTGAAGACCCTGTGAAGTACTATATGAATCTCAGATATGGTGAGCATGTTCGTACGATGCGTATGGCTTACATTGAGCATCTTGCTACATTACGTGATGACCCCAAAAGAAGATCCTTCTGCATCCAAGAGCAAGGGCCTGTCTGACTCAGCGTCTGACTCCACTCGTTCTTCACACGCTGCCGCAAGCGTTGTACCCAGTCTCAAAAGCTTCCACCAGCTCTTCATGCCTCACAAAGCTCGCCAATGCAAAGCAGATGAATCTGGAGGCCCACTCTCTACGAAGCACATCGAAACGTGTCAAAACTCTTTCAGACCGTTTGGGTTTGCTATCCATTTAAACTGGCTCTCCATGGGCTGGCTCTTGTAATAACCACTTCTTCAGGCGCTAGAGTCGGCCGGCGAGAGAGTCGGCTACCCTGCTGTTGGTCGGATGGCGCGCCCCAGAAAGCAGCGCGAGGCTCCCGGCCACACGTGACGCCCCGGAAAAGCGAGGTCCGTTCCTCACTCTCTTAGGCCCCGAACAGGGTGGGGCCATAGGCATTCTTCAGCAACTTCATGGCACTGCAAAAGTGCTCGACGTCGTTGTCCATGGTGGGAACGCCCATACCACCGACGTCCTGCGACGGACCGGACCGGACCGGCGGAGGATCGGCGGCGAGCTGGAGCGAGCGAAGTTCTGGTTTCGAGCGAGCGGATGGCGGGTGAAGCTATGGCTGGGGCGGCAGGGTGGATCTGGAAACAGCTAAGCGAAGCAAGTTTGGATGAAGGATGTAGAGGTTTTGTAGGGAGAAGTGGGAGAAGTGACTGAGAGATTTGGGTCAAATTCGTTCACATCTTGGCCACTCTTTTCAGTTTCTGTTTGCAGCTGTGAGTGAGTATAGCTCGCTTTCACGAGCATCCATCCGAACTCGGAACTTAGCACAGCGGGGCGGGGGTGAGGGCGGTCACGGCGGAGGCGCCGAAGCCATTCGAAGGTCCTGACACTCACGGTTCATGGACTCCATGGGACGGTTTGCATATGTACCACTCCAATGGGACGTGGTGGACGTGGGGAGTCAAATCTATACCAGCACCTTCCAAGTCCTTTTGGAGGGTTGGGAAAGGCCCTAACAGGTTTCAATTGGTGACCTATATGGATTGTTTGGGATTGTTCTGTGTTCTCTGATCTTCTCATCCAACGCATTCATGCACCCGCGTGAAAGGCCCCTTAAGAAGCCCCAGCTCAGATTGCGAACCCGCTCTGAGACCACCGACCTGGACCTGCTGTACCGAAGCTGAACGGCGGACACTTTCCTGAAGCCACGCATTCCCGCTGCTTTTGTTGGTTCTCCCTCTCGTCTTACTTGGGTAGAGATCACTCAAGACCCTGCCAAGTCGCAATGAAGTAGATACCCTCGGAGACATCGTCATAAAAGATATTGGACGGCTGGAAATCCTGAGTGCGAGCGACTCGCAGCGGTCATATGGGGTCTTGTCAAGACCTGAAAGCTGGAAGCAGGTCATATGGGATCCGTATTGGGATATATGTGAATGTCGTTTATGGGGCCTCCAAGCTGGAAGCAGGTTATACCAATTTCGACCTGGGTTTCTCTCCAAGTTCGACCTCCACCAACTCGACCCCATGACTGGTGAATCACCCATGGCCAGGCATCCCCATGTTGCTTCTGGTAGCGCGAGTGGAAAATCGCCAGCTGCTGCCCACAGCACTCAAAAATTCTCAGCAGAGACGTCTCCTGACGACGTGGCGAGCGGAGCGGAGGTGCTGTGCTGCCCTGCGAGTGCTGCGCAATCTGTCCAGGTTGGCCCTCTACTGCCTCGTCTGCGCTCCCCCGCCTGGTTCTCCTACTCATCCAAGGGCCCCTTAAGACGATCAGGCCTTGCATGGCCTTGCTGTTTTCACCATAGTCATAGTCTTGTGGCAACGATCAGGATCAGGGCCCCTCAAACCCCCCCAATTCCGACCAAATCCGACCAAAAGGGGGCTCGATTCAATCCAGCGAAAGAAGCCCAAAAGGTTCTGGCAGGTTCTGTTTCTAGCCCAATGTTTTTGTTTAAGTACGACACTCATCGCCCAAGTCATTGCAACCTGAGTTCGCTTTTGCCACCTCTTTCCTACGTTGTTCACCGCGCGTCGCGACGTCATACACTCAACCACGCGACGGCGCCCGCCAGCGTGAAGGTGCACCGGATGGAATCTGAGCAAATGTTGATCTGTCATTTCTGGAAAGGTTTATATAAATGGTAAACTCCACCATTGGCTCCTTCAGGTACGGTATGAGCATCAAAAGACCATCAAAAAGCCCCATCAAAAGACCACCTTAAGACCACCACGACTCATCCGGCCTGTTTCTTCCAATACTTCTGATAGATCACCTCGGTGAGTCTTTCGCCCGGCACTTTGTGCATGACCTCGGCGACTCGTCGACTCGACGAGGCTCGGTCCTAGTGGTCCGGTCCGACTTGGAGACGGATAGGTCGGACCTGTCTCAGTGCTGGATTTCAGGGGTTCTATAGGCACCTGTCCCATGCGTCGTCCGAAGTTTGGAGGAAACGAGACCTCACAACCCGCCCCGCTGGCCATCTGCATGATGCATGCCATGCCGCCCCTATGACCCAGCGAACCCAGTTGTGAGGCTTTTCCGGGGTTGTGAGACATCACAGAAGCCTAGAGGCTATGCACACGATACAGAAGCAACATGCATGGAGAATACTTTCCTTTTGACCCTGTCAGACAGGCAAGAAAACAACATCTGTTTCGATCTGCTCGGTGCCCCAGCGATCAAGTCATATTTCTTGGCGCCATCCAACATGCAGCCTGAGGCTGTCAGCGTGTGAAATCGCCTCTCACAGTGATGTTTAGAAGAAATCCGAGAAAAAACAACACACCGAGCTCGCATCAGTATGCATCAGTCCGGAATGAGACATAGAATGTGTGTTCCAGCACCTTCCAACAGGTGGTTTTTGGACACCGTGACACCCCTTAACCACTAAGATGCTATAGACACCTCTGTGTTCAGGTCCTGGTATGTGCATGTGCAATCCGGGAGACCTGGAGACCGACCGCTTCGGACCACCGAACCGTCGACCAGTCAGTCGTCGGCTCCCCAGAACCCCCCTGGTGCCCGGTGCTTCACCCATCGGCCGGTCACGGTCGCACCGCTCGCTGCGCAGCGCTCGCAGCGCTCGGTCCATCGGCGCGGTGGGAAGAGTCGAAGAGGTTCGGGCACCCGAGCTGAAGATGCGGTGTGGAAAGGCCAGGCTCTCGTCCGAGCCTGACAGACACTCGAAGCGTGACCCACCAGGGGTGGTATTGGACCTGATCGGAGAAGGTTTAGGGCGAGCCGGTGATCCAGTGAAGGATCAATGCGAGTTAACATAGTTAACATCCCCACAAGTACAGGTGAGTTTGAACTCAGCTTGCTGAAGGTGGTCATACACAAAAAGAAAAAAGGCAATGAGCAATTAGGTTTTCAGGGCCGGACCTGGGTCAAGCTGGCCCTGTAGGGGTGCAGTTGGTATGGTTGATTAGAGCTGAGCCGCAAATCTCAGGATGCTCCAAGTAGACCTTCTCCAAGTTCTCCGCCTCTGTCGGCACCTGGTGTCAGTGTGGCGCAGCACATGAAAGCGGTCGCATCATAATAATATTAATTTAATATATAATTATAGTAATAAAATCATCCTCATCCTCATCCTCATCATCATCATCATCATCATCATCATCATCATCATCATCGCGCACACATTCGGATCCACAAGTCTTCTTGAAACCTTGGCCAAGTCTGGCCCCTCCGGTCTTTGTTGCTTTCTTCCCACGATGACCCAGGATGACCATTGGCCCCTCCTCCAAACCGCCCAAACCGCCCGGCCATTCGCCCTGGGCTCCGTGCGTTGGAGGCGATGCGTTGGCATTTCACCAGCTTCAAGACCAGTTCTCCTTCATCGCCCGAGCAGAACCACACACCGTCGTTCAAGCCTCGGCGAACGGATGTTTGCTGGATGTGGCGAGGTGTGGCAAAGCTTCGCCTTGTTTTTGCTCCTTTGTGTTTGTTTGTTTCAGTCTATTTTGGATCTGTTTTTTCCGCTTGTCGCTCTTGTTTTTCCATTAGATGGCTTCCGAATTCCGAGCAAACCAGCGAATCCGCATGTCTCAAACGGCACGCCCGTCTGACACTCGATAATATGAAGCCGTTCATCGGTCAACACGTGTCAAGCCTTTCTCCCCGTTCGTGTCTCGTGTCTCACGTCATCTCCCACCTCCAGAGAAGCCTGTCATGGCTTCCACGCTGGTAAAACCTGGGGTCTGGCGCGAAACCAATGTGTTTCTGTTGACTCTTCGGATTGAAAACGACGTGAATACCCACCCACCAACCATGTGAACTGGCCGAACACACATTTTCTCCAACGGTTTCCACACGAAGCCGTGCGCACTCCAACCTTAACATGCAAAGTGGAGAATCCGTCACCTCGTCCACCATAACGACGTCGATACTTTCGTCGATCATATAGCGGGTAGTATACGATCCAAAACATCGATTTCCTCACTGCCTCCGCCGCGGAGGCGGAGGCCAAGCCCGGCCCGTGTGGTTCAAACCACGCAAGTCCCAATCGTCCGAATTGAGCTGCGCACCACCCAAGGCCTCCGAGAGTTGGGAGCGGATCCTGACGTGGACCACCCGAGCCGCGGCGAAAGGAGCAGCAGCCGGGCGTTCCATGGTATTGGACTCGGTTTTAGACCCCAAGAACCCAGCGATGGGTCAGGGATGGTCAGGGGATTTGGTCAGGGGTCTCCAGATTTCAGCACTTGCGCCGCACTCCGCCATTAAGGAACTCCTGTTTCAGCGAGCTCTTGCCAGAAGCAGCTGATGGGTCCATGTAGATGGAGAATGGATAATAAAAATTGTTGATTGAGATGGACCCGCATCTAAAGAACCTCTCGAGGTCCTTCGCCATCTACTTCTTGAAACCACGATGTTTAAAAAACATGTTATGAAGCATGCATGTTTCAAGCTAGCTACATTGGTGTCACCCCTTTCGTTTCCAGCAACAGACACCAACCCACCACTTGCCCATCGCGCCCTCAAACCCACGCGGGATCGCTCGCGGCCTGGGCTCGGATGGATCGAAGGTCTCCGTCTCCAGGATGAGCTCGCCCAAGTCCAAGCCTCGCCGATCAGCGGAGCCGAGCTTCCGAAACGTGCCGAGTGAGCCGGAGCGAGCTAAACGCAGGAGTGGATCGAGTGGGGCGGTGTGTGGGTGGGGTTCGAGTTGGTTGTTGAGTGTGGGTGGATGTCTGGTGAACAAGAAGTCGAGTCAGTGTGGTAATCACCCTTTTTTTTGGGGAATTGGTGTTATGGTCGATGAACCAAAATGACTGGAGTTAGGTCATACCTGGGGCCAACCAACTATGCAACAGTTGCCGAACTTGGCTGGTTTTAATATAATATGTTATATGATAGATGGGAAGATCCGGGCATAAAAAGCACTCCATGAGTCAGGTAATGCATCAAGTCTGACTGGCACTGGACCGGGGATGGATTTCCCCGGTCCTGGCAGCTCGTTCCGTGGGCCGGCGCGGCTGCTCTGCGAGCAGGACACGACTGGCTCGCTAGGTTGGAGACCATCGCTACTAACATGAAGATACTAAGTAGCGAGACTCGCTACTTATAGTGGATTGAGAGTAGATGGCACAGACCCCAAGAGGTGGTTTTGAACCCCCATGTAAAGGACATCTTGAGGTCAGTGCCATCTACTCTGAAACCACTCTAGGTCTTTGCTTCAGGGAAGCATGAAACGACAGGGGTTTCACATAGAGCCCATTCGCCAATGCATGGGTTTTAGACTCCGAAAGTGCTGCCAGCACTACGCGGCCCACGCGGCGCGCCGACGGTCAAACAAAAACATACCTGGCATGTATATGTGACAGTGTTTGATGAGGTTCGCACTTCGTATGTGAAAAAGGTTATAGGCTTAATGAAACAGTTGTTTTAATAGATAATAAGCGATCTTTGCTGCGCGGCACCCCGCGTCCGGCCTGAAGTCCCGTCAGTGCCTGAAAGGATGCATCACGATGCATCAAATCCACCGAAACATGCCTTCTGCACCATAGCCATGTTGTGGGGAGACCGTTTTAGGCCTTGAACGGAAATCTCCAATGACACCAAATGAGCTCTCAACAACTGCTCAATACTTTTTTGCCCCCAGCAGGAACGACACCAATCGGAGACCTTCATCTTCCAATGACTTGCCGTGAAGGGACTGGGGCGATGATCTATACCATGCAGACTACCATGCAGTTCCCTTCCCCCAAAGTCCGACTCGTTGGTGTGTGGATCATGGCCCATGGTAGCTCTGATACCTTCTAACTCCCAAGCGAGTGACTGCATTATTACCCAGCTTCCGCACCCCAGTCCACCAGTCTGCCCAGCCCACCTCGAGCTTCACGGACTCGAGCTCTTCTGCCTGCGAAAATGGACCGGTTTAGAAGTACGCACTCAGATGGCTGACAGCGCGACCCGGAGTCCGAGCTCATTCCCTCACAGTGGGGGGTCGATGCTGAGGTTAATGTCATAGCTCATCATAGCTCCCAAAACTTGTCTGAACGGCTCGCATGTAGAAAGTCACTCAGTCCTCACACACTTCCCCAGCCTTTGACCGCAAACTCCAGGCCAGTTCCCAAGAAGATCTTTTCTGCAGGCCAATCCCTGCACGGGATGCAACCAAACTTGCCGATATTCACGAGTGTGAGCCGGCTAGGAGCAAAGACAAGAATAAGAAACAACAGAACGGAACAAAGGAATGACAAAAGGGAAAGGATGAAAGGAAGGTCTAAAGAAGATCCGACAAAAAAGAACCACAAAATCTGGGCCCCATTGTGAAACCAAGCGCAAGTAAGAAGGTCAGCAGATAGAACCCCACAGTATGGTGCATCATGGTGCGTAGAGGTCGCAGCCTTACTCCACCAGTTTCACACCTGTGGGTCCCACAAGGAAAACGGCCAATGAAACAGTCCCCCAAAGCCCTTCCAGTTCAAAACCCGGTCTCGAGCACCTATAGTATAGTCACTTGACTATAGTCACTCGCCAACCTAGCGAGTGACGGACGGACTCTTATATAGTTTGGCGAGCGATAGCGAGCGAGCGACTGACAGCAGCAGATGCGAGCGATGGCCGCCGCCAGCGGCAGCGATGCTTCCACCCGCTCTGCTTGACGGGCCACGTCTCACCGTCTCGCCTATAGGGGATCTGCGGAGCCACACTCACTGCCGTCGACCTGACGCCGAGGTCGCACGGTGGGAAGGAAGCAATGTTCACCAGAAATTCCACCAGCACGATCGGAGATCGGAGAAATCAAACCATGGATCAATTTACAGGTATCGGTACTTGTTCTGACCGAAATCTCGTTCTTTATGACATCTTATGACCAAACCTTGTCCTCGAGCGTCCGAATAGAATGCTCCAAAACGCTCAGCTCGCGTTGCTCGGGCTCGAGCACTTCGGAGTTGCCCGTGGATGGGGTGACCTGCTCCAGCGGAGAACAACAAACATCGCTTCTCACCAGGGCACGGGCTTCCTGAAAAAGAACTCCCCCATGCTTGCGGCAATGGAACTCTGTCGATCGGCATGTGTCCGGAACATCTTCCTTTTTTGGATGTAATATGATGTCATCGCATGCGGATGTTTAAAAAACAACAAACGGGTCCCGTTCATGGGCCATCACCACTCATTCGGGATCAAATCTTGGTGCGGACTGACTCATCCCATGTTCTACTTATTTGACTCTAGTTCTTGCCATCGGAAAATGCTCATCTGCTCCACATCGTGATATATAGGCTACCGCTACCTATGTTCTGCTTCAATAAAAACACATGCAAGACAGGGTGTGCACCACGGTGTGCACCGACTTCGCCCGATATCCCCGCGCCGCCGGCAGCTCCGGGTCCGTCTCGCGGCCCGGTGCCGGGCGTTCGCCTGGAAGAGGTTTGACCGGGCACCGAGACCGGCAACGGTGAAGAGATGGAATGACGCTAAGCAGTCACGAGATGGGGTGCTTGTTCTGGAGGTTACTCAATCCCAGCACCTGGGGTACCTGTTTGGGAGATCGATGGATGTTAGTATACTGTAAGGATCTTCACCCTCTGCCGGGAGTTCCGTATGGAGTTGGGTGGGTTTTGTTCAGATGCGACGTGAGTGAATGTCCTACAGGGGCATGCTGCAAGCAGCCTAGCGGCATCTCCTACAGGGGAAGCACCCCGATTCACATGGAACGGGGTGGCCATCAGCTCTGACGGGTGTGACGAAGGAAGTAGGCCGAGATGGGCCCAAATGGGAGAGGTTGAAGAACCCTACAGACTATACCCAAACACTCCATGCAACTGCCATATATGCCGCCCCATTGATCCCCCTGGCACCACCCCAACTGATTGGCAGTCCTATGGCAGTCCCATAAGTCGTGTCTGGGATAGGTACCCCAGGTGCCAGGTCCTATTAACGGTCACTGCCCACCTCTGTTGGACATTAGAGAGTCTGAGTCCTGAAAGGATCCCACACCTCGGACCCCCAACCTTTCGATTCGCGGCGAAAGTACGGTGACCCCAACCCCAAACACTCCGTGTATGGCGGCGATTGGGGTGGTTGGGGCGGATCAGTATTCCATACACACGGAGTGTTTTTTTGTTATACTAGGCTCTGATGACTCAGGACCTGAATTGCACCTACTAAAGACAAGGTGTCGCCTGATGACATGGGAGTTGCACTAAACCACAGGAAAAGCAACAGATGACTGAGGAGTAGGATCAGGTTAAGTTCAAGGATAGACCAGGAGATGCACCATAGATGACACGGGAGTTGTTGGGGAATAAAATGCATAAAGAGCACATGACTCAGGAGTAGGGTGCGGCTGAATTCACAGGCTAGATGCCGTGGGGACATAGGGGTTGTTGGAAGGTTATTTATTACTTTGCGTGGATGACTCAGGATCTAGAGAGTACTCAAGAGTACTCAGGATTTTGCGCAGATGACACAGGACTTGTAAGATGTACGATATGAAGCACTAAGGAGCCAATGAGGATCAGGTCAAGTTTGAGGGTAGACCACATGATGCACCATAGATGACACAGGAGTAGTGAGGAGTAAATAGTTTGGTCAGACAGTTATACAAACATTTTATCAGCATCAAACACACACTACAGAACAAGTCGTCAAACAAGTCCGTTTCGCAGTGAAGCACACTTGTAGTACTCTTTTGGCGCGTCTTCCTGGTCAATCAGCAACCTCAAGCTGTTCAGCCATTCAGACTGCTCAAAGACTCCAGCTGGCTCTTCCAAGCGGACATCTCTGGCATCTGTGGAAAAGCAATCGTGTGTTGCTTCACAACGTGTTTCAAGCATTTTGCTAGACACTCTAAGGGAGTCCTTGTGGTTCCCCAACTGCACGACTTGATCGCACATCCGGGGTAGCTTGAACTCCAAAAATTCTTCGCGGGATGGCGATGCACCCCAGCACCTACCACCTCTGGAATTCTAGTCAAAACGATGTTTTGATCCTTCTCAAGCTGCACCAGCTGGATCCATTCAGCACTGAAGTGGTACGCTTTGACTTTGGAGCCAACTGCTCCAACAAGCTTGACACTCTTGCCCGAGTTGTCCTTCCCAACCTCATCCACCGCTTTGGCATCTTCATCTAATGCCTCCACCTCCCCCCTCATCAGCTGACTCTGCAGCTTCCATGTCAGCATCTTCCAATCCGCTGCTTGCTCCAGACCCATCAGAGTCACCATCTTCATGTTCAACCTCATCGTGGTGGGACGGCAGGGCACCTTCCGGAGGCTGCATGCCACTGGTGCCCTCTTCATCTTCATTCTCCAACTCATCAGCGTCTTCTGCCTCTTCTTCAGAAGCATCATCATCGCCTATCACAAATTGGAGACCGCTACTCCCAAGTCATCCCGGTCCGCCAGGACCATAACATCATCCATAAAACAAACAACATACATGTCCCAAGACATCCTGCTCCACAATAGATTCAAGATACCCTGCACTTGATTACATGATTACACACGGAGCATTCTGCCAGTCAAGGTTCTCAAGAAAAGTACAAAGACTCTGACACAACTCCCAGGTCATCCCTCCAGGCCTGCATAGGCTTCTTTCAGCAAATCAAACCCGCTCCTCTCAGCTGTAGCATTCATGCAGCACAGAGCTCTGGCAGGGTAGTTGTCAGAACTTAGCATATAAGTCCCGCGCCCTGCTGGCTCATCAGCATTCAGCAAAACGAAGCGGACGTGCAGCAACTCATGCCCTCTTCCTGCCCCAGGGCAGCCAGTGTCCTTTGCGGCAAGTTCATGTTGAAGGCCTTAGGCCTCTGAACCTGCCCGTTGGCCTTCACAGCTAGATCTTCATATCCTTGGATGCTGAGTGCAAGGTGATTTGGATATGGGTGAAGCCAAGCCATGTTGCTGATTTATCCCAACAAACCATGAGCACCACTCCTAGGTCATCCTACACTTCAATAGAATGGAAGTCTGACCCTCATCATCAATTCTCAAAACCACAACTCCCAGGACATGGTGCCATGAGATCTATTCAACATATAAAAAATGCACTTCCAATGAATTTATTTCAGGGCTCTCTCTCTGTCACGAAGATCGGGAACGCATCCAAGGTCACTGCTGTCTTGCATATCCAAGCGCACCCTGTAGATGTGATGCACCTGATCGATGGGTTGCGCATTCGCTGAGAATCCGCCTGCCTGTGCCGAGCAAGCCGATAGGGCTATGTCTCCAGTTTTTACACCAGGGACTCACCTAACATGAAGAGCTTTGCCGGAATATATAGATATATATTCCACTGCATCATTTATACGAGTGACTATGAGAGTTCAACATATCCTATGTCATCACAGCATTTCTCTGACTTTAGAGTTTATTTTTAGGTTTTCGTTTTCGAGGTCCGGTCTACTGTCTAAACAACATTTGTTACCTTGCAACCTGCACACTAATGATGTACAAGTCCTATGTCATGGGTTGGTGTGCCTGCATGCCTATGGGCAAATCCTAAGTCATTGGTTTAATGCTTCTTAAAGACTTATGTGCTTCTTAAAGAGGTTGATGGGAAGATATGGGCATTAGTTGGGACAACTCCTGCGTCATTGTACTCACCATGGGTGAACCACCCACGCCTGTAACGCCGGTAGCTTAACGTTGCAGCATTCTGACCAAGCTTGTCTGGCATGATCAAGTCCGGTCTTAAAGCAGTGGAATCCGGACCAAGCGTCTGCCAGAAGCAGACCTCGATCCTTCTTCGTTAGCTTCAACTGCTGCCGCTTCAACGCATAGGCGTCTGTGAGCAATCCGTGCAATAGGGTCTGGAATGTATTTCCAGTCATGAAGTGGCTTTTCGTCTCGCTTTCAAACATGAAGCAAACGCCTTTGTGAGCATCGTTGAACTGGTCCACCAAAGGCTGTGGAAAGCTGCCTGATGCAAAGCACAATCCCAGCGGTCCCCTGCTGCCATCGGACCAGGTTGAGGTAACTGCTGTAATGCTGACGCGAGCAGCGCTGAAGTGGTCGCTTCTGGCGATCATGTGGTCATGCTGCTTGGCACCTCGAGTGGTTGGAGCAAGCAGAGGTGTTGTGATGAGACCGTAAGTCCTATGTCATCCTCTTCTCTCTTGAATAACGTTATATAATGTTATATATATATATATAGTCAAATTACCAGGTGAAAGGCCAAGGCGGCCAAGTAAAAATAAGCAAAGCTGTGACAGATCAAATCTATCCGAAGCACGCTGTTTGCCTTTGACAAGGAGCTTCTTCCCAAATCGTAATGACTGCCTCCAGACCTGATCCAAGTTTAAGATCAAGTAGCGGTGCACTCCAGCCTTGATCTCCGCCCCCACCTCCCTTCTTGCACTCTCTAACCTGGGGTCATCCCATTCCTGGGAAGTTGTTGCAAATCGAGACACACACACATGACTCAGGAGTTGCCCGTTTCTATATAGGAACTGCTCAAGATTATGTACAACTATTTGTCGACTCCCAGTGGAGCAGTGGGCCGTTTTCAATTATAAAACTAATGGGTTGATTAGAACTCATTGCAAAAAAAGAAAAATAAAGCTCACATGTTTATCATTGTATTCAAGCAGGGGTCAAGATAGCTCCCGCTTGTGTTTCGGCTGGCATGCTTCCAATTGAAGGCGGCCAGGAATTTTCGCACAAATCGCATGTCCAGGTCTTCAGGACATGGCAAAGGTTGTGGTAGAAGTGCCTTCGTGATGAACTTTTTTGGAACACCAGCTTCACATAGCTCAGATCTCATTCTCTGGTTATGTTGATGGACCGCTTCCTTTGCTGCCTCCAATCCCGAGTTGTATTCTCGCGCCAGCCGGTTGACAGTGACTACCTTAGGTAGTGTTTATCCGGTTGGTGTTACAGTAGGACCAGTCTGCATGACCGGTAAGCATTGCAATATACATGCAATGCAGCCATACACATTCAGAGCGGGTGCCTTGAGGAAACATTTCAATCAGACAAGCAGACTAGTCCTAAGACATCCAGGTGCAAGCATGGAGGCAGGAGGATATACTATATCCTAAGCTGTTACCAAGCACCTAGGTAGTGTTTATCCATATTTGCGTGACCACCTACCTTAGGTCTGCATGACTACCTTACAGTATGTCATCTATTCCCAGCACACTGCTAAATGACCTGAAAAATCTTGAACAGAATAGACTAGAACTCTCCCGACAAGGTGCACAGTGGCGGCCTAAGACAATGTCTCTGCGTTGAGTCACCAGGGATTTTCCCATAAGGAATTCAACCATGGCTGCATCCAACTCCTGCGGGCTGCTCCGGAAACTAACAAAACATGATGCTGTGACACATCCATAGGTTGCCATTAACACGGATCCTGGAGTTGTGCGGATGACATGGGAATTACGCAACATCAACAGCTTTCAGTAGAAAGAGCCTG